TTCCGATAAAAAACGCTCCTGCTCCTCCCGCGATGTGATTTTCTCTATTTCCTTGATCAATACCTCGATAGTCCCGCGTTCGCTAATTTCTCGCTTCAATTCTTGTATTATACCGCTCACATACAAACTGCAATTTAACATTGATATCTCTTAATACCGATATATACGGATATTATTCATAGTCGAATTTACATACTAGATTTATGAATTGGCAATAGTGGATTATAATAAGTTGAGAATTTTCTCAAATACAGCGTAATATATTTTGGAGATCTAATATATCTGTATATATTTTATATAATCTTATTATAGAAAGAGAGAGAAAGAGAGACAGAGAGAAAGAATTATAAATATAATCAATCAAAATTTTTATTAAAATTAAAAAAAATAAACGTTGTAAATATGGAACGTAAATACACATTTAAATAGCGCAAACGTATACAATTGGAGTAAATACGGAATGATATCTAACAAGAAATAACAAATGTAAGACGGCAAGCGTAATCGCTGTACTTTATCATGTTTATACATTCAAATCTTACGCTAAATTGGGTATGATATAAATTAAAAAAAAAAAAAGAAAAACGGATTTATTTATATTTATTTCTCCACAAATTATTACGCATATTAATTTGGTAATTATATAATTCATCTCGAAACGCTTTTCGCTCGAGGATGATCTATCTCCCGAGGGGGATCCGCCACTGTCAAGTATGTCGGTTTTATACTTTCAGACGGTGTAGACAGGCTAAAGGCTAAATGAACAACCTCTCTCGTTGAAGCTTTTCACGCACAGCTTCCCTCCGTGAATTCGTCATCTCCGCGAAGTTTCCGATAAGCGACTGCAGAATTGACGTTTCCGAAATTCTGCAAATAGATATACAAGGAGAGACCGTTATGATATTGGAATTTTTTTTTTCTTTTGGTTTTTTTGGTTTGACGTACTCAATTTCGGGGTAAAAATTAGCGGTGTCACTTCTCATCTCCGGTTGTTGTCTCAGAGTGTTATGATAAACGACTAATGAGTCCACGCATTTCTCTAATACCTCCAGAACAGCCTCGCGTTCCGCCGGTGAAAATTTTACGGAACTTTCCGCTTCCATCGACGCCTCCATTTTTTTCCTTTTTTTCTTTTTTTAATTTTTACGAATCAGATTTGTCGTTTGTTGGTCGCCACAAATATTGCGCTACGATATTTTTCTTGACAAACTTGCACATATGGAAAATAAAACTAGAATATATATAAGAATAACTTCAAAATTATTTTGGCAAAAACTATGAAAACAACAAGATCAAATATTTTGCGTTGTAAGGTTGTTCCGCGAAATAAAGTTTATACGTTTTCACGTGGCGCATATATAATACATGCACATGTATATATATGTTTTATGCCAAATGTCGACATATTCAACGTTAAATTTATCCGACTGGTAGGTATATCACATGTCAGTCTGCATCTATCTGATGAATCAATTTATCACGTTCCCGTGTGTACATTTACCACAATTTCAGTACCATTTTCTCCATTTACCCATTACTTCCGTAAATTCTGAGCGATATCAACAGCGCAGAATCGAAATATAAATCATTCTTTCGGAGAAACAGCTGCAGAACAGATGCACTTGGAACGAACGTTTAAAGACACGATTAATGTTTTACATATTAAATAGGATTTTATTTGACTTTCTAAATTGTAACTTTCTATAATAACTTTAGTATCGGAAATTAAAATAAATTAATATATATTGTGTGCTTTTTATGATATAATACTGTGTTTCTCTTCGGAGAAACAGCTGCAGAACAGATGCACTTGGAACAAACGTTTAAAGACACGATTAATGTTTTACATATTAAAAATAGGATTTTATTTGACTTTCTAAATTGTAACTTTCTATAATAACTTTAGTATCGGAAATTAAAATAAATTAATATATATTGTGTGCTTTTTATGATATAATACTGTGTTTCTCTTTCGATTTAATTTAATAATAATTAAGAATTGCTAATATTATGTTCTCATTTTTGAAACAATGTATTTATATCGCTTTTTATGATAACAAGAAATACGCACTCGATAACAATTCGCTTCTATGCATATAATAGAACATATGTATATAGTACAACAAACATTGAAAGTAGATAATACGTATATTACCGTAATGTACAGACAGATCATTACAAGTAAGCAGACATTTTTCCGCGGGTTAATTAACACATCACCGGACGCGCAGACATCACATCGCAGACAACATCGATCTCGACATGTGATTGTATTGCGAAAAAAGAACCGACCAAAGCTCTGTAATTCCACGAACCTTTCGAGCGAGTTAAACAGTTTGATCCATCGCCGCTGGCTGCCGTGGAAACGAACCCAAGCAACCATGGACATTAAAGCGATAGTTGGCGCGAGAGAAAAAAAAAAGGAACAGGGCTTCACGCAAAGAGCAGCGCTTACCCCTAATGAAAAGGAAGCATTTGCCGAGGAAATATTTCTTGTCAAAAGAGGGCGATTTCTGACTCCACGAGTTCTGTCGACGCTTTTGAAATATAACTTTTTCAAATTAACTTGGTTGAATCATCGCGCGTTCAAAATTTTGTTAAACGAAAAATGGGATTGTCGAAGAACGAAAATCGCGCGACGAAAAACCTAGAAAGTTGTAGATTCAACGCATTTGCATGTGTACATCGTTATTCTCAGACACGTTCTCCGAAACGCGATTTTGCTTTTCGTATTTCCGGAAAAGTTTAAAGAGAAACTCTTGTGAAGAAGTCTCAGCTTTTAAAGGTGTACACATCTAATGTGAACACGAAGGAAACCAAGTACATCTTGGCTTACATGAAACCGAGGAAATGTACCGTATAGCTCTGCTGTAACACGCCATAGGATGCCTGCCTAGAATTATCGATTTTAAGTATCATAATATCTTTTTTATTCGTAAATATTATTTCTCGATAAAACGAAAGACATTTCACACGATTCTTTTCTATTTAACGCTCTAATCTTCCGATTATAATATAATATAAATAATACAATAAATATAATAA